AAAGAGGTTATATCACATCTGCTATATTGACTTTTCTATGTTGAACTTTTTCTTTTTTAAAACATGTCAGTCACGTTGATCAGAGCTGTTGTTGTCTTTACATCACATGTCACATGTTAGACACTTTTATCCAAAGAGACTTACATACTCAATACTGTGGGCAATCCCCACAGGAGCAATTTGGGGTGAAGTGTCTTGCCCAGGGACACAACGACATGCTGACTGCAGTGGGGTTCGAACTTGCTATCCTCTGATTGGAAGATCAGCGCACTAATCCACTGAGCCACAGCCTCCCTGTGGGGGCGCAAACACACGCACACATAACAGGAGTCAACCGTTAAATCTGGTTAAATGTGTTTTTTCTCTCACAGCGTCTTGTGCCTTTGCACTCACATATACACATTTCAGATGAAAGCCTTTGCTCAAACTTTCTTTTTGTCTTGTGTCTNTTCTTCACAATGCTGTTAAGGCTGCGGTCATCTCTCTTGGTTGTGCAGCGTTTCCTGCCACATTTCCCCCTTCCAACAGACTTTTTGTGGATGTGCTTTGAAACTGCACTCTGTGAACAGCTTGCTCTTTGAGAAATTTCTTTTTGTGTCTTACCCTCCTGATGGAGGGTGTCAATGACGGTCCTCTGGACAGCAGTCAGATCAGCAGTCTTCCCCATACTTGTGATTTAGTTTACTGAACCAAGCTGAGTGTTTTTCAAGGCTCAGGAAACCCTTGCAGGTGTTTCGAGTTAATTAGACGATTCAAGTGATTCGTTGAACACCCTACTAGTATACTTTTTCATGATATTCTAATATTTAGAGATAGGATATTTGAGTTTTCTTAAGCTGTATGCCATAATCAGCAATATTAAAATAATAAAAGGCTTGCAATATTTCAGTTGATTTGTAATGAATCCAGAATGTATGACATTTTTGTTTTTTTAATTGCATTACAGAAAATAAAGAACTTTATCACAATATTCTAATTTTCTGAGACAGTCCTGTATACACATTTCAGATGAAAGCCTTTGCTCAAACTTTCTTTTTGTCTTGTGTCTGATGTAAAGTTCACCTTAACCTTCAAGGCAAAGGTTCATCTCAACCCACTCTCTTTCTCCTTCTCTTATTTGCTGTTCTCTGTCATTTTCTCCTCCTCACAAACATTTACTTTGGCATTTACAACAGAAGGACGGGTCACAGAGTTGTCTCTGTAAATCTTAAAATGCCAAAGCAAAGAGCACGGAGGATGAGCTGGATGGTTTCGGTTGTGAGGAGAATCTTATTACTAGAAAGATTAGTGTCCAGCCTTCATCTCACAGTGTGCAGAGCGGACTAATCAAGGGGGAGGTCCCGGGCAAGAGTGCAACAATCTAGGGAACCTAAAATCAGCCCCCTAAGCCTTTTTAAAAATACATAAACACTCCAAGCATCTGTGTGTGCACAACAGGAAATGAGTTGTCGGTGACAAAGTAGTAGAGTGCACGAGGGCCCCACTGAGGGATTCACTAAGGTCCACCAGAATCATTCAAGTAACTTTGAGAGTGGAGGAATAAACTTGCTGCTGCTCATTCTTTCTGCAACATTCAGGATTCAATGACAGGTTTGAGTTGGTTGTGTGCTCTACTGTTCCCTTTGGTATGTGATTATTTATTGGTGAGTCAACATAATATTAACAACAATTCTAAATAATGTATTAATTGTTTTGGTCATGACATTTTTTTAGGGTTTTAAATAACTTGAGAACTATTGACTGGATATGGAAAGGGATGACTTTTGGAATGTTGAGCCACTTATTGAGCTCAAAATCAGAATCTTGCTTGAGTCTGATTTTTATCATTGTAAACTGAGAAAAAAATGTATATCTAGGTTTGGACTGTGGACTGAGTCTTCTGATATTTGATGATGTCAACCATTTTTTACTTTTTAATTGATTGGTAGACAAAAGTTATAATTATTGATTGAACAAACTCTTAGATCAACATTTTGCCAGTAAAACTACTTAACCAAATTGAATGTAAAAGAGCTTCTACACACAGATACCGCACGTAGACGTGTTATGCAGTCTGATCTCATTGGTGACTGTCAGCTCTCCACCCCAGCTGCAGGCAGCATCTGCTTCCTGTTTCAGTCCAGTGCTGCTCTGACCTCGGCTAGAGGAGCCAATGACCCATAAATCCACTTATATACACCACTCGTTAGCATGCAAAACATACATAGACATATGTAAACATACATATGCATTAATCCTCTGTCAGTGCAGTAAAAATAACTTGAGTTATAAGTTCGCCCCCATGTAGCAGATGTGTCTACTGAGTACTAGGATGCATCTCATTACTCTGCATGTGCTGCAGGACCCGAGGGATGCAAGTTCATTTCCATCTGTGTGAGGAGGGTGAGAGGGGGACAGGCTGGGAGCATGACGTTTGGACTGAGTGCAGAGCAGAGCTGTAATGCTGGCTGAAGGCTGCAGTCCACACTGATGAGTGCACTCTGGTCCTAACGCACAGCATGGAGTTCTCCAGAGACTCAACATCACTTACACCACAACAGGGTGGAAACGGAGAGTGAGAATCCACCACTCAATCCATCCTCGCTTTGAAATTAACATCATAGAAAAATAAGTTGGAGGAGTGACTTGTGCAGGTGTGTGTTTGTATATGTGAATTTGCAACTTGCAATACAGTATAATTTGCCTAGCACTGCTTTCTATATTCAAACATATACTTATTTTTGACGTCCATATCAACCCCATACTCATCATTTTTGTTGGATACATCTGCTACAGTGCTCCATAATATGGCAGCAATGCCCCTAGTACAACAGCATTTTTTTAGCCCCATATGGCAAACGTGAAAATGGATCAATGTCAGAGGAGTTGTGTGAGGCGTTCAAGGCTCTGGAGGAATATGCTCCATTTATTTTTTCATTAGATGTGTTGGATGCTTTATTGACTCACATTAAAGTGGCATTTAAAGAAACTCGGCCTCAAAATACAAAGATGTCTTCGAATCAAATTCAGCATTGTCACTCACATTCTCCATTCAACATTTTCCCTCCTGGTAATTATTGAAAGATAGACCAAAGAGATCATCATTAGTTTGACAGGGATTTTATCACCCAGAGCATTTAGCTAATTTAAGAAATCAGCCATCACAGAGCTTGGTATTTGGTAGATAGAGTGTGCTGGTATCAGTGAACAGAAGCCAAAGTTGACACATTGTAGATGCTCACAAAACATTCAGCAGGTAAAATTCTATTACTATTTTGGCAACTATGGTGTTTTCTTTTGCCCCAACATACCATAAGAATTTTCCCTAGAAACGGGGTTGAACTCCAACACCAGTTTGGTATTGTTGACACTCACCAGGCAGCGCCCGTTGACACACACAGCTCCAGGCTCCTTGGCGCAGGCCGTGCCATCGAGCACACGGCCAAAGTTGTAGTAGAAGTTGTGACCCAGGGCCAGGCAGCTCAGTTCACAGGGGTTAGAGCCTGGCAGGGAAGAGCTTCAGTCAGTGACTCATTAGTTTATTATGGGAAAACAGGCGAGGCAGAAGGAAAGGGAGGGAGGAGGCTGAGAAACAGAAACAGGCAGGAGGTGAAGATAAGAATCCGGGAGAGAGCAGAGTGAAAGAGAGGAGGCAAAGAACTAACAGATGTCATGGAGTATGTCATGGAAAACTCATGTGGATTAATTACACAGCATGCCTCACAGTGGACACGAGAGCTTCCCATCATGGAAATTTAACTATCTGACTTCCAAACATAGTCAAATTATAATTCACTCCAATCTGCTAAACCACAAGAATGAGTGTCCATCAGTCCTTAGTGTGGACGCACAAACTTCCTCAAGGCAAGAGGAGTTCGGTCCACTGAGGCCTTTTACACAGTTGTATTTTTTGGTATTTATTCACTGCCAGAAGGAAGAATTACACACTTTGTATTGTAGGACCATCACAGTGAAAACATTGTATCTCCTAACAACAAGTCCTCAGTAGCTGAACAGAAAGTTGACTTCACTGACCTCCATGAAAGGTGGTCCATCTGAAGGAGGTTCCAGCCACTAACGGTCGGTCATTGAAGGCAGCACACTGCATCTCTCTGAAGTCCTTCGAGCTGGGGGGGCACTCCTGCACGCGCGCGCGCACACACACACACACACACACACACACACACACACACACACACACACACACACACACAACATTACAATACATTACATGTCACTTGTTAGACGCTTTTGTCCAGGGTTGCCAACTTTGGCTACCTGGCTGGAGTGAGATTTTGATATCATGGGTTTAATTACACATATGCGCACTAAATGACTGCTATCGTGTCAGCAGCGGGACCTTAGCACATATATGATATATATACACAATATATACAAATACATAATATTGGACACAGACTATAAAGGGCACACAGTTTCATTCACTAATGAAAGTCAAACACATGTTTGTTTCCACAGTTTTATTGTGTGCCTGTCGCAATAAGCAATTCATTGACTTATCGTTAGATAAATAAAAATGAACTCAACCGGCTCCCACTGCTCTGCTGTCTGTTAACGTTGTTAAGAGTGGTGGGGGCGGGGACCCCGCCCCCACCACTCTTAACAACGTTAACAGACAGCAGAGCAGTGGGAGCCGGTTGAGTTCATTTTTATTTATCTAACGATAAGTCAATGAATTGCTNTCAGATAGGGTAATAACTTAATAAGTCTCTTCAGTGAGAATGTCACAAAATGATTTAAAAAGAAAAGCAAAATTCTAGAAAAAAAGTAAAAAAATAAATAAGTAAGTGACATTTTGAAAAAAAAGACAGATTCTGAGAAAAAGGCAAATTCTAAGAAAAAATGAGTATTTTGAAGAAAGAAAGTCAAATTCTGAGAAAAAAAGTCAAATTTGAGATGCATTGTGGGACATGTAGTTTATGGGCAACGTGCTTCTGTAAATTGGCATGTAACCTTATAATAAACATATTATATTCTTTGCAAGCTCTTGTGGGGCCACATCAAATGAAGTCACGGGCCGGATTTGGCCCCCGGGCCTTGAGTTTGACACCCCTGCCATAAAGGAAGCACTGTTTTGTTTATGTCAATCCGACCTTTGAGCTGTACATGTCCAATCACATGACCAGCGTACACTTTGATTCAATACAGACAGCAGAGGTCAGAACAATGATGTGAAACACACTCCTGATTGGTTGAAGGCCGGCTGCTGCACAGTGATGTCATGGGAAGTGATCCTGGGGGGCGAGCTAGGACCGGACATCCACTTTAAGCCTTTGTAGAGGGAAGATTCTTGCTTGGGACTGTTTGTTTTTTCTGTCTTGTCCCCCATCCCCATCCTGCCTCATACACCCAACCCCACCACCCTTCCTCAGCCCCGAGAGTCCTCTTCCTCTGAGCTGTGTGTCTTGAGTGCTGTTGTGTGCAAACGCAGTTCAGTCATCCCCTACCCATCCATCTTTTTGCCCTCGACCAGACCTCTGACCCTCAGTCCCCAACCTCCTACAGATGGAGAAACACTCTATCCAGAAAAGATTAACTGCCATGGCCCATTTTAAACCAATGCTCAGCTGAATGGGACAAAGCTAAAAAAATTACCTTTAATTTCCGAAAAGTACACTTTTCAAAAAGCTTGTAATGTGAATTTGTTATGCATTTGTTCATAAGTATTCAACACTGGCCTGGTTGTAATGTTCCTGATCCAAAGAGGAAGATCTCATCACAGCAGGCAGCAGTAAGAAACAGAATGCAGGAGCCACACTGACACGACCATTTTGTATGTGAACTGTCATCAAAGGCAAAGCCAAAGAAATTCCCCAGCAGTTTCATACTTAAAGCGATTGAGCTATCCTGCACTTCATTCATCCAATTACTTTTCTTAGAAATGCAAATATAACCACTGTATCGATCAATGAAAATTAGCTTTGTAAATGCTGTCGCCTATTGAGAAATGGTTAACCTCGGAGCAAAATAACTCAAGCTCAGGACATGACATCACAGCCAGTCCAAATTAAGATAGAATACATTGTTGATAGATCCTAGCTGCTAACCAAACACTTCTTACATGTCTGCTTGCGTATTTACACCACACAGACAGCATGTTCTCTGTCATTTATCTCCGGCTTGTCTCACCACACATTTTATAGGCTTCATTCGTCTGAGTGTGTGTGTGTGTGTGTGTGTGTGTGTGTGTGTGTGTGTGTGTGTGTGTGTGTGTGTGTGTGTGTGTGTGTGTGTGTGTGTGTGTGTGTGTGTGTGTGTGTGTGTGTGTGTGTGTGTGTGTGTGTGTGTGTCAGACCAATTCTCTTCTATGACTCACAAAGTCAACGAGCCTCAGTGAGTCTCAGGTTTTTTTCCAAAACATACATGTTGTTGTGCAGTCAGTAGAAAAGATCCATACTAGTGTATTTTGATAGTTTTGAGGTTTCAATGTATAAGTTATATTAGCACGGTTAATTTTCCGCGAGTCCTTTAAAGTGCAAACACTCTTTGAATACTAATTGAAACTAGAGAAAACTATTCCTGAAGAAATTGCTAGTGGGAATGCTTTATGCTGAAAAGCTGACGCTGAACTGTTATGCTGAAATGTAATGTATAAGAAGAAAGTGAATAATTTAGATTGAAATGATACATGAACACTGGGGGCTTGAATGTGTCTCTGAAAAAAGCATAATCTAGACGCTTCAGTAATGAACAACTGCAGGCCAATATCAAACATGCCATTTCTAGGTAAAATCATTGAAAAAGTTGTTTTTAAACAGTTGAGTAATTTCTTGCATTTAAATAACTGTTTGGATGTGTTCCAGTCAGGATTTCATCAAAACCGCAGCACTGAGACTGCTCTTGTAAAGGTCTTCAATGACATCCACTTACACACAGACAGTGGCAGAACTTCAGTGTTAGTATTATTAGATCTCAGTGCTGCGTTTGACACTGTTGACCACAACATATCACTAGACCGACTGGAAAACCAGGTGGGACTTTCATCAACAGTTCTAAATTGGTTTGAATCCTATTTAAAGGACAGAAACAACTTTGTTTCTATATGTAAATACAAATCTGAGTTGACAAATATGACATGTGGGGTTCCTCAAGGCTCAATCTTGGGGCCTCATCTCTTTAACATCTACATGCTACCACTGGCTCAGATAATGAAAAACAACAAAATAAGTTACCATAGCTATGCGGATGACACACAAATTTACGTAACCATTTCACCAGGAGACTATGCTCCAATTCAAACACTGAGTAAGTGCATTGAACAAATCAATGACTGGATGTGTCCGCACTTTCTCCAATTAAACAAAGATACAACTGAGGTAATGGTTTTTGGAGCCAAGGCAGAACGTATAAAAGGTTAGCGCTGAGCTTCAGTCTGCAATGTTCAAAACAACAGATAAAGCCAGAAATCTAGGTGTAGTCATGGACTCTGACCTGAGTTTCAACAGTCACATTAAAACAGTTCCTAAATCAGCTTACTATCACCTAAAGAACATATCTAGGATTAAAAGACTAATGTCACAGCAGGATTTGGAAAGACTTGTCAATGCTTTTATCTTCAGTAGACTCGACTACTGTAATGGTGTTTTTACAGGTCTCACAAAAAAATCTATTAGAAAGCTGCAGCTGATTCAGAACGCCACTGCTCGAGTCCTCACTAACACTAAGAAAGTGGATCACATCACTCCTGTTCTGAAGTCTTTACACTGGCTTCCTGTGTGTCAAAGAATAGATTTCAAAATACTGCTGCTGTTTATAAAGCACTGAATGGTTTAGGCCCGAAATACATTTCTGACCTCCAGAACTCTCAGGTCTTCAGGGACTGGTCAGCTTTCTGTCACCAGAGTCAGAATGTTTCTTTTATTATCTTTTTTTTTTAATAACTGTTTTTAAATGCCTTTGTCTGAATGCCTTTCATTTTTGTAAAGCACCTTGAATTGCCTTGTGTTGAAAGGTGCTAAATAAATAAATGTGCCTTGCCTTAAACATTTGATTTATTATGCTGTTATTATTTATTATAACCCTGATAGTTCACCAGAATGCTAGATAGACTGTTGATGTATATAATGGAAAAATATTCATTAGTCTTGTAAATCAAGTGCAAAACATGACAGAAACATCCTACTTACACAATCCTGCTTCTCAGTTACAGATCTGATTATACAGTGCAGAATCTTGCAGCATACATTTTAATATCAATGAGGGGAGTGGCAGAAAGTGATGGCATGACTTTGAAGTATTCTTTATTCATGTGTGGCCATATAGCGTCAATTCAGATCTTTCACTCCAAGTCACTCCAGGTGACTTGGAGCTTAGCGCTTCCTGAAAGAAATGTACCTTGTTGAGTGAGTGAGTGAGTGAGTGAGTGAGTGAGTGTGTGTGTGTGTGTGTGTGTGTGTGTGTGAAGAGTTAAAGAACTGTGTGTGATCCAGCTCCTGTATGAGGAACTTGTGGGAGCGCTGCCAGTTTCAGTCCTCCTCCAGGGCATAAACTCTGGAATGTGTTTGAGGAGCGCCATTGAGATATCTCTAATAACTTTGTATTGTTTGGCTGTGATGGTCCTGATCCACCAGGCTCACAAGGTCATTTCTGTACACTATATACTCTTTAAATGAATCTGCCAGGTGGATTTTCTGTTATTAATAGAAGCTTTTGTTTGGCTTCACACTTAACTCCCCCCAACACAAGTTTTCCCTTCCACAAATGATATCCCATCATACTGCCAAAACTGTAGCCTCTCTGTCTTCATCTCTAACCCACACACATGCAGGGATTGAGAGCTGCTGACAGTAGCCAGTTGCCTGCTGACAGCTTTGAACATTTAAACATCACAGTGGGGAGCAGAGTCACGTTGTCCCTGACTGCATGGCTTCACAGCAGCAGTTATATTGGGTCCAAGAAACCAAAATACATGGAGAAAAAGCAGATCAGAATAGAAACTGAACAGTCTGATCTCTGTGGGAAAATTGTAATAGACTACAATTGCAAAGAATGTAGGGTTATCAAGACATTGTTTTTTTTTAACGGGTTCCTCTTTTCATTAAAAATACTCTGTTATGTACTTAAAGGGGAAATATCATGCCAATATGTAGGGTTTGTATTTTAGGTTTCTACTAGAACATGTTTTCATACTTTAATGTTCTGAAAACTAATTATTTTCTCTCATACTGTCTGTCTAGAAATACCTGTATTCACTGTCCGTCTGAAATGCTCCGTTTGAGCGCCTGTTTCTTTAAGCCCCACTTAGAAACAGCCTAGTCCGCCCTGATTGGATTGTGAAATAAATATTGTGCAGCTTTGCAAAGATAGTTCTCCAATAGCTGGTGTAGATACTCATATTGTGGGAGCTTTGTTTTGATTAGAAAGTAACCCAAGTGACATAGGAAACTGAGATGAACATCTGAATGAAACCCATTACCACTCTTTATGTAGTAGATTGACCCCATCACTAATATGCTATCAAGGCATATACTCTAATATCCAATCAAATCAAGTTTTATTTATATAGCACATTTTTAAACGATTTTTGGTCGAGCCAAAGTGCTGTACATATAATAAAAAATAACCTACAGTAAAGACACTTTACAGCAAATACAACAGCAGTTTGTGCAGAATATCAGTATGATAAAAAACGATACCCTATGTCCTTAGACCCTCACATCGTATAAGGAAAAACTTCTGGAGAAAAACCCACAGTTTAAAGGGAAAAATGGGAGAAACCTCAAAAATGGGAGAAACCTCAAATATATCAAATTATTATCATAATAGCTAATGTTGTAGCCGGTCAATGTGGAGCCTATTTTAACCAACAAACTTTGTTTGCATTGCTAGTTGGTAGTTGAACAAATAGTAAATTTAAAATATTAATCGAACAAGTCTCAATTATTTTACTATAGCAGTAAGTAAATGTACTTAGTTGATTTCCATTACTGCTTACTAGCTTATTTTGGCTGTGTCTCTGTTTCGCTTTGTTTAAAGTGTTTAATGTCAGTATTAAACTGTCTCTCTCTGTCGTTCATGTCTCAGTCATGGGTTTCTGCGTGGCATCCCTCCAGCGAGGCGTCATCAGGGCGTCCGGCCCGCGCCCGGCGGCAGCTGCACTTCAGGAACGAGTGGGCGTCGTGGAGCGGCTGGTCTGTCTGTTCCCGTAGCTGCGGGGGCGGAGCCTCAGTCAGGACTCGCACCTGCATCACAAGGTAAATATCAGCGGGGTCCCGCAGGGTCACATCAGACTACAGCATCAATCTTTAAAAATGTAATACATTTAAAATATGTCAACAATGATCCTCAGAAATCACAATTAAAGTTGCAACTGAAGCTTAAGTGTTCTCTGTTTCCAGGGGAGGAGTGTAACAAAGGATTCATCATTCATCAAAATTTAACAACCGTTTTGAGGAACTTGTACTTTATTTCTACTCACAATTTAGAGGCAAATATTGTACTTTTTACTCCACTACATGTATGTAGTATTTGGTAGGCCATTTTATTTAGCTTTAGTTACTAGTCACTCTGCACATTTAGATTATCAAAACAAAATAGCATCAACTAATTAACTTCTAGTTTTTGGTAATTGTATGTACATTTAATGTTCTAACTTTGTTTGAATGCAGGATTTTTAGAGAAAAATTAAATACATAATAAAATAATATATCTGAAATCATTGTTTGAGGTAGTTCATAGAGTTGTGTATAGTGTGTTTAACAAATATTTTGGAACATCATTCACATGTGTTGATAACACATTACTTTACTTTTATTTCTTCTGTGTCCCAGGAACCCAGTGGGTGGACCATGTTCAGGAGAGCCCAGACAATACAAGATCTGCAACACTAAGGTCATTTCAGAATAATGCTTTTCACACTGTATGAAAAATGTCTTTTCGATGCAAACTTCTTAGAACAATGGATGATGTTTGCTATAGAAGTTGGTCATATAGGCGTGGTCGGGGTTGGTGTTTCAGGGTGTGAACTGGAATTTCAATGACATATTAACTTGTGTCTTCACTGCACTGAACTCAGGGATTAAACACAGACCTGCTGCAGTCAGCTATCAGACCTGCTATTGTGTTAGAAATGTGGTGTCCGCTTGTGTGTATGTGTGTATATGTGTGTGTTTGGACAGCATGTCGCTGTTGCCCTTATTGATTAAAGGAAAACCACACACATGGGTTGCAGCGTGTTTAAGCATGTTTGAATGTGTGTGCATTTGGCAGTTGGTGCGGTATGATTAGCTCAGAGCTTTCAATGAATGGATACAAATCCTCAACCTCTCTCCTTCTCCTTTTTCCCTTACTCACCACTCGGCTCATGTCTTGTTAAAGCTGGGTATAGACTGGTGCAGTGAAGACATATATATATTTATATATATATGCCAACCACAAAGTGAGCACCCTAGGGCTCCCTCGACAAAAAAGCCAAATGATTGGCCATTGGATTCCTTGATATGACAGAAAATAATGTTGTTTATGCTAGTGACATGTTTTGTTCAGCAGGATAATGTCATCATATCAACACTTTAAAACATGTGAAGTGTAAATGCAATCAGCGGAGGTAAAAAGCTATTGTTAAACTTGCCATGTTAAGCTTGCAAAGATCTTATTTCAGGCATCTAAGCAGAAACACATACAAAAAGCGCTGAAGGGAACCAGAAATGATCAAATATGATAACACATTTCTGGGTTCTAGGACTCATTCCTACACCAGTTCATTGGCAAGTGTCTTGTGTTACAATACGAATCATGATATAGGGGGTTACGATTCAATAGATTACAAAAGTGTAAGCAATGCAATTTAAAAATCTAATACAAAAAAACTGTCATGGAGAGTGCACTACCATATAGGAGGGAGTAAAAAAGTGTGTGTGTGTGTGTGTGTGTGTGTGTGTGTGTGTGTGTGTGTGTGTGTGTGTGTGTGTGTGTGTGTGTGTGTGTGTGTGTGTGTGTGTGTGTGTGTGTGTGTGTGTGTGTGTGTGTGTGTGTGTGTGTGTGTGTGTGTGTGTGTGTGTGTGTGTCGTGCGGGGTAATATGCGCGCGCGCGTGCA